GTGTGTGTGTGTGTGTGTGTGTGTGTGTGTGTGTGTGTGTGTGTGTGTGTGTGTAGTTTTGTATTTACAAGTGACGTGACATACGAGGAGCAGGGGGGTGGGAAGTGTGTGCAGGAGAAGCAGCCGGGGTCTTTGTTCCTGGAGGCAGGAGTTTGTCCCACCGGGTTGCACCAAGCCCCAAGCAAAGCACCGCGGTGTCTGTGTGTGTGTGTGTGTGTGTGTGTGTGTGTGTGTGTGTGTGTGTGTGTGTGTGTAGTTTTGTATTTACAAGTGACGTGACATACGAGGAGCAGGGGGGTGGGAAGTGTGTGCAGGAGAAGCAGCCGGGGTCTTTGTTCCTGGAGGCAGGAGTTTGTCCCACCGGGTTGCACCAAGCCCCAAGCAAAGCACCGTATTGCTTGTCGTGGACAGTCCCAGCGCTGCGGATCCTTGATGTCCAACCCAAACAGTGGCAACCTGGAGCGTTCTCCGGCCGCTGGCTGAGGAGGAGCCGGCTGTGGATGTACCTAGGAGGGACATACTGGTCCTTCGCTGCCGGTGCGAAGAGGGAAGAGCTTGGAAGGGTTCCCCTTCTGAAGAACGTTCCCCGTTCCCCGTTCTCTGCTCTCAGCTAGGTAGCTCGCAGCCTTTTGGCCCCTCACTGCTATTGGATGATCAAATAACCATGGCAACCAAGAATGACTTCCTCTGTGCCGGGCCAAGAGCCCCAGCCCTTCCTGGTGGCTTCGGGCCTGCCCTTGGGACCTGCCTGTTGGTGACTTCCAGGCCCAATGACTTCCAGCAACTGGGTGTGGCTAGGAAGGAAGGGCCTGGCTCCGGTCCAGGTCCAGGCCAAACCACCTCTGGGAATGGGCCAGACTGCCTCAGAGATCATAGAGCCCTAGGGCTGGAAGAGACCTCGGGAGGCAGCGAGTCCAGCCCCCTGCCCAAAGCAAGACCAACCCAACTCAATCATCCCAGCCAGGGCCTTGTCCAGCTGGGACTTAAAACCTCTAGGGATGGAGACTCCACCCCGCCCCTAGGGAACCCAGCCCAGGGAGGTGGTGGATCTCCATGACCGTGACTTCCCAGGCCAGCCACGTTCCGCCCGCCCTGCTGCCCCCCTGGCGAGGCTCATGAGGTGGGGAGGGGGCGTTTTGCTGGGGCCTGGCCTGCGTGTGAGGTGAGACCAGGCCTGGGAGCAGCATGCAGCCCGTTGGCGAGGCTGGGCTCCCCCCGTGCACGCCACGCAGGTTAGTCAAGTGGCTGCTTCTCCCGGCTGGGAAGGAAGCGAGAGGCAGCCTGTTCGTGTGTCTATTTTTAACGACGCGCCAGGGCGGAGGTGCTATGTGATGGCTCCCCACTGGTACCCGGCTCTGCCAGCACAGACCAGGCCTGGGAGCAGCATGCAGCCCGTTGGCGAGGCTGGGCTCCCCCCGTGCACGCCACGCAGGTTAGTCAAGTGGCTGCTTCTCCCGGCTGGGAAGGAAGCGAGAGGCAGCCTGTTCGTGTGTCTATTTTTAACGACGCGCCAGGGCGGAGGTGCTATGTGATGGCTCCCCACTGGTACCCGGCTCTGCCAGCACGTTGCTGTCGTGCCATGCGGGGGCCGGCACGTGACGGGCTGGCCTCGCCTGGAGCGGTCCCCTGGGTCCACAGAGGGACCGAGAACCCCACTGCCTGGTTCTGGTTTGCAGACACTGCGGCAGGGTTGGCCGGGATCTCTGCTTTCTCTAGCACAGAGCGAGGGCTTTGGCAGGCAGGGTTGGATTGTAACAGGCGCCTCCCCCCCGTACTGCGTTAAGGCTTCTCCTGGTGGCCCCGAACTTCGTGGTGGACAAGGGCTCGGCCGGCGCCGCTCCC